TCAGTTTCTTTGTCACTATCTTGTTGCTGGGACAAAATATCACACATACAAGTTACAGGAGGAAAAGTTTTTTGGGTTCACAGTTTATAGAGGTAATATATATATATTTCCAAATTGTTTTAAAAACTAGCCATAAAATCTTCCATTCTCACTAACAAAATATGAGGGTTCTAATACAGCACATCCTTATCAATTTTTCATCAGTTTCTTTGTCACTATCTTGTTGCTGGGACAAAATATCACACATACAAGTTACAGGAGGAAAAGTTTTTTGGGTTCACAGTTTATAGAGGTATGAGCCCTTAGTCAGCTGGCCAAAGCAAGGTAGCACAGTAGAGGGATACGGCAGAAGAGGAACAGACCCTGGCAGGGCAGACAAGAGGCAGCTACAGCAGTCAGCCTGCTTTATGTTTGTCCCTTTATATACCATCTAGGCTGCAGCTCTATTGACTTATGTCACCTATAAACAGGATGGGCCTCTCTCTTCAGCAAATCCATTCTAACATACCCAGATCTATGCTAATTCAATGAAGACACTAATGTAGATATCACACACCCTTAATCCCACTACCACACACCCTAGATTCACCCACATCCCCAAAACACCACATGTGAGTGTATGAGGCTTTGGGGGCCATCTAGACACAAGCCATAATAATCATGTTACTTTTTATTGGGTAATAGCATCTCATTGTGACTTAATTTGAATTTTCCTAATAATAATGTGTTCCTTTTCATACGCTTTATTAACATTCATGCAACTTTAATGAAGAGCTACTCAAATTTATGGTCCACTTTTACTAGTCGATGGATTTCTTGTTTTCATAAGAGTTCTTTATATATTCTGACAAAAATACTCAACATAAGTATGATTTATAGATATATTTTTATCTTATCTCATAACTCTTTTTGCCTAACACAATATAACAAACACTTTATGTTATCTTTCATTATAGAAATTTTGTACTTTCACATTTAATGCATAAGTCGTTGTTCATTTTGTGTAAGGTAGTAATTGGGGGGTAAGTTTAAATTTTTGTGTATGGATATACCTTTTTATCCCATTTGCATATATTCCTTCCATCAGTTTTCCTTTTCATCGCTTTTTAAAAGGTTAAATATATCCATTTGAGTTAATTTCTGATAGCTCTAGTCTGTTTCATTAATCTGAATCATCATTTCATTAATAGCACAAAGTCTTGATTACTATGGCATGATTGTCTTTAAATCAAAAATTGTCAGTCACTCAGCTGTATTCTTATTTGTCAAATTGTTTTTGCCATTCTATTTCCTTTGCTTTTCCATATAGATTTTAGAATCATTCTGTCAATATTTACAACAACATGCAGAGATGTTGATTAGAATGTCATTGACATTATAAAAATATTGAGTCTATAATCTATGAGAACACTAAATTTCTTTATTTAGGAACTCTTTGCCTCCTTCCATCAATGTTTCATAGTTTTCATTATTCAGATCTGCAAAAATTTTGTTAAAATTATATTTAAATATTTCATTGTTTAGTGTTGTGATAAAAGGTAGCTTTTTAAAGTAGCAAAGTTCTGGTAGTATTTTGAAATAAAATTGTCAACAATGCATGTTGATCTTTATACTGTCTTACTTTGTTCTGTGTTGCTATAATAGGATACAATGCCATGAGTAATTCAGTTTATACTAAACAATAATTTAGTGATTCCTGGCTCTAAAGACTAGACAATCTAAGATTAATGGATGGCATTTGGCAAGGGCTATTTTGCTGCCTCATCCCATGACAGAGGAGAAAAGGGAGAGCAACACAGGACAGGAGATGGACAAACTATGCTACTGTAAAAAACCTACTTTCTGAAATTGAAATTGTGCTAATACAGTCATGGCGGCTGAGCCCTTATGGCCTGATCAACCTGTAAATGGTCCACTTAATATTGTTACAACTGTAATTAAATTTCAACATGAGTTTATAAAGGGACAAGCATTCAAACCATGGCTTTTCTTCTGATCCCCCAAAAGTAATGTCCTTCTTACATATAAAATACATTCATTCCATCTCAGTGGCTATTAATGTCTTTCCTCCTTCCACTACCAACTCAAAAGTTCAAAGCTCATAGTCTCATCTAAACTGGATATGAGTGAAACACAAGGCTGGATGTATCTTGAGGCAAATTTCTCTCCATCTGTGATAGGGATATGTTTTCAAAATATAATAAGGCAACAGATATAAGACAAATATTCCCATTCTAAAAGAAAAAAAAATATGTAGGAAGAAAGGGGTAAATATTTCAGCTAAGTACAAAACTCAGTAGGGTAGAAACAGTAAGTCTAGGGCTCCAGGGTAATCTCCCTTGACTCCATGTCCCAAATCTTGTACAGACTGGAGTTTTCATTAGTCCCCAGTCTGTTAGCTTCAGCCTCATAGATTTTCAAGGTTTACCCCATACAGCAGCTTTTACAAGTTAGTGCTCCATGTCCATGGCTCTTCCAGGCTGCTGCTGCACATGAGTAGCTCTACATTTCTGTGACCTTGGGCAGCCCCACCTCTTGTCCTAGAGGAGAGTCTCTGCTTTGCCTTCAGTTCCATGGGGTATTTCTCAAGTGGAAGCTCTATGCACTGTCCTTTCTCAGCTTGTGCCATGAGGAGTGTTTGTTAAAATTTTTGATAAAGTTCTTTGTGACCATCCATTGAGATCTAGGAAGGAGAGATACCAGAGTGAATAATTTCCCCTTATGTCTGCACCCCCCACGACTATATTGTTTCATTCTCCTACACTTGCCCTTGGAAAATTTTTAAGAATGTTAATTGAACTCTAGTTACTTCATTACAAGGATTTAAGTGCTCTCTTTGAAAGCTTTGTCTTTATTTCATATATATTGGTTGCTTTAAGAATTCAGCTATGATACTTTCAAAAAAGGCTATAAATGTGCAGTTTCACAAACTGCTTTTTGGTTTTAGGGATAGAAATGATGTAAATTTCTATATACTGAAAAGATGGAAATAAAGTGTTTGTAAATGGGGAAGGGATGTGGGGGTGAAGGGAGGGCAGGGACAAGGGGGAAAAATGAGAACCGAGACCTGTCATGTAAAGGTACAAGATGCCTATAATGAATGTAACTGTACTGTATGCCTAAAATGTACCAATAAACTCAATTAAAAAATTTAAAAAATTTCTATATACTGAAAAGATGGAAATAAAGTGTTTGTAAATGGGGAAGGGATGTGGGGGTGAAGGGAGGGCAGGGACAAGGGGGAAAAATGAGAACCGAGACCTGTCATGTAAAGGTACAAGATGCCTATAATGAATGTAACTGTACTGTATGCCTAAAATGTACCAATAAACTCAATTAAAAAATTTAAAAAATTTCTATATACTAAGTTGAATACAGAAATCTTAACATTTACTCCTTGCAATATAAAATGTCCTGGGCAAACACATATTTTGAAAGTTCCCTTAGTCATTAGCACATTCTTAAATATCTCTATATTGATAAAACAGTTTTTAATTGTGCTTATTATTTCTATGGTTTCATTAAATCTTGGAACAATTGTGAAAGAAAACAAACTAGCAATTGAAAAACTTATTTTACTCAGGTATTGAGAAGCTCTGAGTGTCTTTGCATGTGGTTTGGTCATGGACTTTCATAACAAGGAAGGCTGATATTTGATATTATTTTAAAAACAGGAGATTCTCAGTCAGTGAACTCAACAGGCAATGTGGATCTAGCTAGTGTCAAGAGGACATAGAATTGTAATCTCAGCTAATTATTCATAAAACAGGGAAGGGGAAATTGAAGGATCTGTGCCTGCCTTTGTCAGCGGGTTGGGACAAAACCCATTCTGCGTTCGATTTTGTCAGAGGAAAACAGGCAGTCATCCAAGAATCTTCAGAGAGCCAAGATTCTAAGTACTCTTATCTGTCTCTTGTAGGTAAGCCACTTCCTACAAGAAAATGAGCAAGGAATTATGGAAAGCAAAAGATTGAAGAGAGTTCTTAATTGCTACCATTCTCAGCTGAACTTCTCAACCATGATTTCATTGATAAAGTTGGGTCAAAGACCAATTCCTTAGTAATTAATTTTTCAAAAATATGTCTTTCTGGTGATTGGTTCAGATTTTCTATTCCTATAACTTAGCTTCTGGATATTAAGAATTGCCATGAATTTAAAAGGCTTCACCTTAGAAAAGTAATGCTCTGAGTTCAGATTGAAATATTTTATCTTATTTTTACCTTACCCTTTAGTCATCATTTACTCTTCTTTATTAATAAAACAATTTTATTAGGGAAAATTATAATTTTATCACTATCCACATTTAAAGTGTGCTATTTATTAGTGAAACTGATGGGAAAAGACAGAGATGAACTCACTAAGGCAGGGCCTACTAACAAGATGGTGAGGTTTGTGTTAAGAAAGTAGTTCAAGTTATGTCAAAATAGGTTAGATTGTGAGGGACAGTACTGAGTCTTTTGGTCACAGAAAATATTACACAGATACATATAGCTCTCTGAAAAGGATGGACATTTGTATGAAATCAGTGTCTGCATCGCCCTATTAAGTTTACAGTTGCTTTTAGAGCTCAATGTTCTTTGAAATAACTGCCGGTTTATTCTCTCTGTGGTCTTGAAAGGTTAATTTTAAGTGTTAATTTGTTTAAAACACATAGCCTAATTACTTTGCCCAATACTGGACTAGATACCTTTAAGAAGATACTGTTCAGATAAGTTTTACATTTCAATTAGTTGTCTTAATGAAAGTTAATTATTTCTCCATAATGTGAGTGGACCCCATCACTTCAGCTGAATGCCAGAAGACAAAAAGTCTGAGGACCACTGACAAGGGACTCAGGCTTTCTGGAGATTCAAACTGTGAGGCTGGCCCTTTCCTAGGTCTCCAGGCTGCAGGCCAGCTCTATAGATTTTGAACTGTCAGTCTCCAAAATTTTGTGCAACAATTCCTTAGAATGTGTCTGTCCTGCCAAATTCTTCCTTTCATCAAGATCTTTGAGCCCTGTGCTCACCTCGGCAGCACGTATACTGAACTTGGAACAATACAGAGAAGATTAGTATGGCCCCTGCACAAGGATGACACCCAAGTTCATGAACCTTTCCATATTTTTTACGCTGGCAAAAAAAAAAAAAAAGAAAAAATCTTTGAGCCCTTGTTAATTTTTTTATTTATTTTTCTCATTGACCATGTGACATCTGTGGATTGAGAAAAATTTTGAGGTGAGAATAATTACCTATATCTCTATTCCAATAGTCAAAATCATAAATTATCTTAGATTTCCTTTTTCATTTATTGACATTCTTAAGATTTATGTCCCGGACTATGTAGAATTTAACAATTCATATAGCATGTTAAAATTCTACCTAGTTGTGGGTCTACATTTATCTGGATTGTGTATTTTAAAAAAGAATTTAAAAAATGTTATGCCTTTTTATATGAAAGCATTTAAAAACTATTTGGTTAAATCAGATTGACACAAGTTACTTATTTATCCATTATTAAATATTTACTACTGTTGTATAGTGTTACTACATTCAATAGTTATAAGCTAATTCAAATATTTAAGAAGACAAAATAAAGCATACATACTAGAAAAAGGAAGTAAAGACTTTTAAAACTTTTTTAAAAGAAACTTCAAAAATTTTTCATTTTACATGTATCCAAATAACTCTCCAGAGCTAATAGAGTTAGTTAGTTAAATGCTAACAGGTATTCCCAAAGGATATTTTAGAAACAGAGGCAATAAATGTAGGATTCTAGGTCAATTTTAAGGAAAAGGAAATCTCTGATATAAACATTCATACCCATAAATAATAATAAGAAATCCTGCACTCCAAAACTCCAGTGATATGAACCATTTATCCAGTAATCCAACTGAATCTAAGTTGAATTTAAACCACTGATGTGGTTAGCACCTACCTCTAAACAGGCACATGCACTGAGTCTGAACTACAATGATGATAGCACAGTCTAAAACTACTGAATATTTGAGAAAAAGCTTACTCCATCAAAATATGGCAAAGAATTCTACAACACAAAGAGAATGTTAAAAATGTTAAGAGTGAGGCATACCTAGATTTAAAATAGGTATAATTATTTTTCTTAGTAGAAAATTTGATGCTTGGCCCTATGCATACATTTAGTGTACTTCTCATTAGAAATAAAGGCAATTAATTCAGACAATGTATCTTTCTTGGGTGCCTCTATTTTCATGGGAATATGACAATCTTATCTCCAAGCTCAGCTAATTATTAAAGCATACAGCACTATTTTTAGCTGCATTATTTCCAACATTTCTTGGAGAGACTACTTTTCAACACAGTACAATTCTTGGTTCTGGAAAAATGTCCTTTCGATCACAGAAAAGAATAGAAAATTAAACTGGATTACTATAAAATGTAACTAAATGTACAGTATTGCCTCCTCCCTCCTACATTTGCAGTTATGTTAATTGTCAATGGCATCTGCAGCAAAGAATACTGTTGTATATGCTGCATTATGGCCTGGAATGTAGCTGGGGACACTGTGCAAAGTTCTCTTGTTATGACTCTGAGAAAAAGTTTCTCTTTGGTGGAGGATCATGAGCAACAAGTTCATTTTTATTGGAAGAAACCCCAAAACTAAATATGGCTACACTGTTATTTGAAAATCTAGAACAAATTCTAGTATAAAAATAGAGTTTCATTTTTTGTTTGTTTGTTTGGTTGTTGAGACAGGGTTTCACTATGTAGTTGAGACTGACCTGCAACTCACTATGTAGCCCAGGCTGGGCTTGAACTCACAGCGACCCTCTGTGCCTCAATCTCCCAAGTCCTGGAATTAGAGGTGTCCACCACTATGCCCGGTTCCATGCCTTTTAAGCTATAACCATCATACTAAACTCACTTACAGCTTTATCAGAATGTCCTTACTCACATATTATGTACCATTTTACTGCTGCTTGATTTTATTTTATCTCATTTTATTGGGTATTATATAAGCCCCTTGAAATCTTTTCTAAAACAAAGATATTAAAAAACAGATTGATAGTATACGCATGAAGATATTCAGTGACTTGGATGCTCAAAAGATCCACTTACACTCTTTCCAAACTGTCCTCAGTGGTCTCACACAGGAAGCTTAAATTGGCAGTAGTATAAAGACTTACAACATGAAAATCAGTGAACACTAAAAATTAGATTTTCAGTGTTCTCTATGAAGGATCAGTGAGTATTGTAGCCTTGAGTGTATCAGTATTTATAATTTGAAACCAAAGAAACAATTTTTGAAAGTAAAGAGTTTTTAGATTGTTCAATCTGTTTTTAAACAGATTTTAATGTTCACTTAATGTTCATTGAGGTAAGTCAAATCTTTCATTTGACCTAATAGAAATAGTAAAAATAATAGAGCCTTCAGTAAAGTTATGACAGTCATATTGAAGCATAAAATCCTCCCCAAACTTCAGTAGATACTAAATGTAGTATAAAACTATAAATCATGACTATGCATTTATATCGAATATGGAGGCTTACAAATAGGTTTTTTGGAATAATTTTATCTTAATGCCTCAATTATAGTCTCAGATATCCATAACTAAATTTTCTTTTGTTGTTGTTGTTATTGTTTTTTGGTACCCGGGATTGAACTCAGGTCTTTGTGCTTGCGAGGCAGGAGGCAGAACCACTGAGCTAAATGTGGAGTATTGCCTGTTACAATATTTATTTAGGAACAATTTTTTTTTTTGGTGGAGCACCTACTGATTATATCAGTATCATTCACATGTTAGTAATCTCAAGCTTAGGAATTCAAATTTAATGAAAAATCTTGATCTCTCAAAGTTTTGATTGAGAATCACTCTCCATCCCAATAAACTAAACAGGAATGAGAGTATCTAAGAATAACGGATTTGAAGGGGTCTGAAGATAATATCCAGAAGTATATCTCCCAGTTATTAAAGCAATACTTTTTTAAAGGTTTGTGACATAGATGAAAGAGTGACAAGCTTCCCATGAACAACACCTTGGAGTATGCAGATGCTCCTGCTAATGTTCTAGGGCCTTGAGTACATAGCTTCTCCATTTCTACATGTGGGTATAGAATAGCTGGCATTTAATTCATCTGAAATATGCACTCATATCATGAGCCATTAGTCCCTAATTAAGTCGTTCTCAACCACAAGCCTACAGAGGTCAATATACATGAGGTATTTTACATGTATTTTGTTTTTCTGAATATTGTATTGATATTTTGTTTCTCAAGTAGAAAGGAATATAGATTTCCCACTAGTTTTCTTTAGAATTTATTGATAGTACTGATACCATCCATCAAATGTGACACAATAGAAAAAAGAGGAACAGATGTCTGACTGATCGTGAGATGAGAGTAGTCTGATGCCTGCAAACAGCACCTGAGGCTTAAAGGCCTTAGGTAAATCATATTGTATGTGTCACTTGTGTCTGAAACATGTCCAAAACAATGATATTCTCATGTTCATCAATAAAAGTTCCTTGACAATAGTAAAAGGCACACCCAGGTGATATGACAGCAAGGTAACTTGAATGGTATTTTAACTAAGAAACCAAAGAAATCTCTCTGAAGTTAGGCTTATGAATTGTTAAGTCAGAAAAAAAATTCTTACAATAATGTCTTTGCTCTAAATGTTCATGCAACTATTTAATAATTTGTAGTGCATTATTTTGAGTATCATCAGATCATGAGTTTTACTTTTTAAAGTGCATTGATTCTTTGAAATAGTCAAACATTAATTACCACCAACTTAGGTAAATAAACCAGGAGATAAACCTTATATTGTTCAAAATCTGCTTCAAGAAGTATTTTCAATATGTTCCATTAGATTTTGATTAGTTGAAACAATTCTGAATAACACATCTGTTGGCTACTCAACACATCTAAAGACATCTTTAGATGGATTTTTTTTCCTTTTTATTGAGTTTATTGGTACATTTTAGGTATACAGTACAATTACATTCATTACTGGGATCCTGTACCTTCATGTGACAGGTCTTGGTTCTCATATTTTCCCCTTGTCCCTGCCCTCCCTTCAACCCTTCCTCCCCTCCCCATTTACAAACACTTTATTTCCATTTTTTTCATTTTCTCATATTTTTTCTTTTCCCTTATTCCCTTTCCCCTACCCTTCCCACTTTCCCTACACCTTTAGCCCTTTTCTTCCTATTTCACACTATTAATTATCCCGTTAGGGATAATTATGCTATCTAATGTGTACTATTATAATCATACTATTATAATGTGTACTATTATAGTTTTTCACACCAGAGAAACTATTAGGTATTTACACATGTGTGACATTTATTTCACTTAAGAGTATATCCTCAATATGCATTTTAAACTACATTTATTTTTAAAATATAAAGAAAAAATTGGAACTCCATTCCCACATATCAGCAGAAGTCCAAGTTAACTGCAGACAAATTTTGTAGTTTTCCATTCAATATTACCTGCTCAAAATATCAAAAATTATTCATTATACATAATACATAAACCAATAGACAGATATTCTACACAATAAATTCTTTGGTGAAATATGTTCTAAAATATATATTCTTATATTCTGATATTCTTCTGGCATAAAATTTTGTAACATTTTTCTGAAACATCAAAGACTTAATTTCTGAGTTACCTGACGTGTTAAAAATAATTTATTCTTTCCTGCTTTTATCCAGCTTCCTGGAAAGAACAAATTGGAATTTCTTAATGTATTAACTTTATATTAAAATGCATGTGGATTTCCCCAGTTTGGGGAACATATTTGACAGCCTTATGAACATTATTTATTGAAATGCTTCCTAGCTGACATAATAGATAAGGGCTCCAAAGAGTAAAATTGAAAAGCAATTGTCAATACATATTTTATATGATTCATTTCTGCATGAAAACCTGTTTTGATCAAAGAGGAAACTGCTCATACGAATTAATCATCACATTATTTTAATGTGATGAAGAGTTTAGAAAGAGTTGTATTTTTACCTTCAGTCTACAACCAATGTTATTATTAAAATTAAAATGTTTTCTTCTTTATTTCCCATTTTTGAGGTAGATAGTTTAATCTAATTTTAAAGTCATATTTCCAATTAAAATTCACTCTGCACC